TTATCCTCAAAGACTAGTCACCTCATGTGAGTTGGTTACATATACCTTACGCATAAATAATAACCAGATATCACCACGTTGCCATAACCAAAGGTATCTCACCTCAAGTGAGCAGGTCGTAAAACACCATATTTTGCTTCTCGCTACCGCAAATGGTCGCTAAACACCATCGATATTATATACATACAAAGGCTTCTAAGTGTCCCATACCTCGCAAAAGGGACTCCATGCACCCCCTATACTTTTTGGACAATACCGATATCAAAAGATATAAAAAAATCATGTAAATTTAAAATTATTTTAAATAATTTTGGCTTAATTGCAAATTAGGTCTCCCTATTTATCTTTTTTGGGTTTTGGTCCCTCTATTTTAAAATATAGTTTTGTTGATCCCTCTATTTTAATTTTCTCTCTCGATATTTTAGTCCCTTACTTCATTTAAGTGTCATTTTTATGACGTGACAGTTGTATTGATGATGTGGCATGACTTAAGTGGAAAAAATGAAATGCTACATCATTTTTAATTAATTTTTATTCTAATAATAATATAAATTAGCATATTTAAAAATAAAAATAAAAAATATTAATTAAATTACAATAAAAATTTAAATTATTTATTATTTAATGGAATAATTTATTTAATTATATTTTATTATGTTGAAGAATTAAATATTTATAATGTATAACATGGTAGTTATGCAGAGGATGTGATTTGAAACCTGAACCTCTTGCTGAGTAAAACAACTCATAACCACTAGGCTACTTTGTTTTATTATAAAATAATTATGATACATTTAATTTAAAGTAAATTATATTTGATGACCAGAACCGAGTAAATTCAATATTTTTCAGATATTTGATCCATATTTATACCTTTACTCTTTCTTCCCATAAGCCACGTGTGCAGAAAAAATAGAAATTACTTACAACAACTCATGTGAAAATTTGCCGTGTATTTTCTCCAAGGTTTATTCTCTCGCATGACTGAAGCTAGTGGTTCTGTTCAAAAAGTCATGAAGGAAATTGGTGCAATATAGGAAAAATTTGCAAGACTTACGGGAGTTTCGTTTAAATTCAACGTTATTCATCAAGATGGTGATCTTTTCGATTTGGATTTTTCCATTTTGAATATTAAGGAGGATGAAGCGTTGGCGGTTAATTGTGTTAATACTTTGCATTCGATAAGCGTTGGTGACGGTAACCATAGCCATAAATGTAACCGTCGAGACACATTGATAGCTTTGTTGATGGGTTATGTTTGTGGATAGTTACAGTGGTTGGAGAGAAAGCTTATTTGGATTTTGGTTTTGAAGGATTTGAATTCGTGAGAGGTTTTGAGGAGTGTTTGAGAGTGAGAAAATAGGCGTGCCAAATGGGAAGAAAGAGTAAAGGTCATCAAGTATAATTGACTTTAAATTAAATGTAACACAATATTCTTCTAATAAAACGAATTAGCCTAGTAGTTAAGAGATGTTTTGCTCACCAAGAGGTTGGGGTTCAAATCCCACACTCCACGTAACTATCATTTTATAAATTATACATATTTAATTCAACAACATAATAAAAACAACATCAATTAAGCATTATCCCACTAGGTGGAGTCACCTACATAGATCAACTTTCGTCATAATATTCTATCAAGGATCATGCTTCTATCCGAATCATTAATGTTGAGATCTTTCTTAACAACTTATCTTATAGTCTTTTTGGGTCTTCCTTTTCCTCAAATTTTTTTTCTTCTCTCCATCTGATTTACTTTCCTTAATACAAAGTGTACAGGTCTTCTTTCAACATGCACAAACCACCTAAGTCTATTTTCCACCATCTTCTCTATGATAGGCACTACACTAACACTCTGTCTAATAATTTCATTTCTAATTTTATCATATCAAGTTTTACCACACATTCACTGCAACATCCTCATATATGCTACACTTACTTTATTCTCGTGTTGGTTATTAACCGTTCAACATTCTTCCCCGTACAAAATTGTAGGTCTTACCGCAGTTCGATAAAAGTTTCCCTTTAGTTTGAGTGGTATCTTTGGATCACATAAAACACCTTATGCTTTTCTCCATTTCAACCATCCAGCTTGAATTTGATGATTTACATCCCCTACTATTTCTCTATCATTATGTATTACGAACCAAAGATATTTAAACAGTGTGACTTGAGGGATAATATGGTCTCCAACTTTTACCTCTAAGTTAGAAACACTACTTCTTTTGTTAAACTTACATTCCATATATTCCGACTTACTTCTCCTTAGGCGAAAACCATGTGTTTATAAAGCTCGTTGCCAAGTGTCCAACCTCTCATTTAACTCCTCCTTCGACTTTCTGCAAAACGCATGCATCTCTGAGATATCTCTTGGATGCATTCTGTGAGTACATCCAAAATTAAGGTAAAAAGGTATGGGCTTAGGGTTGACCTTTAATGCAAACCAATTGTAATTGGAAAATCTCTTGTCTCTCCACCCTGTGTCCTAACACTAGTCGATGTCCTCTCATACATATCTTGGATAGCTCGAATATATGCAATTCTAACCCTTTTTTCTCTAGAGATTTCAATAAAATATCTCTAAGAACTCTATCATACGTCTTCTCCAAGTCAATAAAAATTAAGTGAAAGTCTTATTGGTCCATTCAATATTGCTCTATTATACGCTGTAATAGATAAATTGCTTCCATGGTCGACCTTCTCAGTATAAAATCACATTGATTCTCAATAACTTGGGTACTTTTTCTTAATCTTTGTTTAATCACTCTTTCCCATAAATTCATGGTATGACTCATAAACTTAATCCCCTTATAATTTGCACAATTTTGTATATCCCATTTGTTCTTATAGATTGGAACTAAACTGCTTATTCTCCATTCATCCATCATGTGTTTTGACCTCATAATTTCATTAAAGAGTTTGGTGAGCTACTAAATACCTCTATCTCCATGAATTTTTCAAACTTCAATAGGTATGTTATCTGGCCCAACTTCCTTACTGCTCTACTCATTCATTTCAACGCTTCTTTTACCTCCTATTTCTGAATTCGACGATAGTAATTATAGTTCCAATCCTCTTCTCTTATGTCTAGTCTGTTAGAGTCATGTGAGATATCATATCCTTCATTAAATAAGTTATGAAAATATATCTTCCACCTATCCTTGATATCCTTTTCCCGCAATAAGACTTTGCCTTCTTCATCCTTAACACACATCACTTGATCCAAATCTCTAGTCTTTCTTTCTCTTCCCTTAGCAAACCTATATATAGATCTTTCTCCCTTCTTGGTTTCTAGAGATTGGTATAATCCATCAAAATCTTGGGTTCTTGCTTCACTCACCACCTTCTTGGGTTCGTTTTTAGCTTTCTTGTACTTTTCCAAAGTTTCAGAATTTTTACATCTATACCACTCTTTAAAACAGTTATTTTTTATTTTAAGATTACTCTGGACACTTTCATTCCACCAACATAATTCTTTATCCCTAGGTCCAAAACCTCTGGATTCACCCAAAATCTCTTTAGCCACTTTTCTAATCTCTTGGGCCATCTTGTTCCATATATCATTTGTACTTCCTTGTGGTTGTCCAAATCATCCTTCCCAAATCTAGTGTTGGAAAATTTCTTATTTTTCACTCTTCAAATGCCACCATTTGATTTGTGGTGCTATCATAAGACTTATTCTCTTTGCCCTTTCTTTAATTTTTACATCTATAACCAAAACTCTGTGTTGGATAGTCAAGCTCTCTCTTGGGATAACTTTACACTCCAAGCAAATTTTTCTATCAGACTTCACGATAAGAAAGAAATCTATCTGAGAACACGTCACCCCAATTTTATATGTGATAAGATGTTCCTCTCTTTTCCTAAATCATGTATTGGCTATAGTAAAATCTAAAGTCGACAAAAATTGTAAGATGGATTTACCCTCCACATTCACCTCTCCTAGGCCAAGACCCTCACACACACTCTCAAAACCTCTTGTCACGTTACCTACATGTCCATTGAGATCCCTTCATAAGAAAAACTTATCTCCTTGAAGTATATCCTGAAGTACAATTTAAATAAATTATTCCATTAAATAATAAATAATTTATATTTTTAATGTAATAGAACTAACATTTATTTATTTATTTTAAAAATATTAATTTTTATTATTATTATTAGAATAAAAATTAAATAAAAATAATGTGACATTTCATTTTTTTCACTTAAGTCATGCCACATCATCAATACAGCTGCCACATCATAAAAAATAAGTCATGCCACATCATCAATACAGCTGCCACATCATAAAAAATGACACTCAAATGAAGTGAAGAACTAAAATCTTGAAAAAATTAAAATAGAGTGATCAATTAAATCGAATTTTAAAATAGAGGAATCAAAACCTAAAAAATTAAAAATAGAGGACCAAAATTACAATTAAGCCAATAATTTTCAGTATTAAATATGTTTTAGTCCTCTTAAACATCTTATATTTATTTTTAGTCTCTCTAAAAATTTCTTTTAAAGAATGATTCTCCTAAATATTTTAATTTTAATTTTTGGTCCCTCATGCCAAAACTGTCGCTAATTCAATCACTAAATAAAAACCATCGCTAATTTTATCGCTAAGTTGTAAAAATCATCGCTAAGTTGCAGAAATGATCAAAAATCAAAATTAAAAATTTTAGAAGGACTATTCTTTGAAGGAAATTTTTGAAGGGACTAAAAATTAAATATGAGATATTTATGGAGACCAAAAATATATTTAACTCTAATTTTTAATAAAAAGATATTATTGAATAAGAAATATTTTGTCTATATTTAAATCTTTAATAATAAATATTTATATTATTTGATGTTAAAGTTAGTTATTTAATTTATAAAAAGAGTGTTTAAAATAACTTTTACTATTTTAAAAACTATGTTACATATCACAAAAATATTTTACTTTAAATAGGGTTATTATATATTGACAGAATTACATCCACTCAATACTCATTTTAACAAATCACATTATGGATGCTCTTCTTCGTTGCATGATTTTTCTTGTATTATTCCATGCTCTTCTGGTAAATCCTTGTTATTGCTTCAAAAGGAATTCATTTAATGTTTCTCATCTTGAAAATAAGGAAGAAGATAATAAATGGCGAACGGGAAAAGCTACACATTATGGGCCTCCAAAGGGTGCTGGATCAACAGGTATAAATAAGTATTCAATATAACATGCATGCATGCATGCATGTTGTTCTCGTATTGTTTTTTTTTTTTTTGTCATGTAATCTAATAGATGAATTGATTTAACGAAATAAAAATTATAGTTGTTCTCATATTTAAATCACACACCATATAATATTTTCGTGTGTAGGAGGGGCATGTGGATATGGTGATACCGTAGAAAAACATCCGTTTAATAAAATGATATCGGCTGGTGGTGGATCTATTTACCGTAACGGAAAAGGTTGTGGTTCTTGTTATAAGGTGAAATGCACAGAGAATAAAGAATGTTCAGGAAAATCTGTGAGAGTGGTTATAAGTGATGAATGTGGAGGATGTGGTGAGGGTCATTTCGATCTAAGTTGCACTTCCTTTGAAAGCCTTGCAAAAAAAGGCCAAGACCATGGTAAAAATCTTATAGATGCTGGAATGATTAAGATTGAGTACAAGAGGATTGCATGCAATTTTTGGAGGACAATAGCCTTTGAAACTGATAAGGGAGCCAACCCATTTCATTTTATTGTTCAAATACAATACCAAAATGGATATGGTGACATTGAAAAAGTTGAATTGAAGGAACAGGGATCAAAAAAATGGCATCCAATGCAACATTCTTGGGGTGCAAGATGGTTTTTGAGTATTGGTAAAGAGTTGAATCCTCCATATTCTATTAGACTCACACAAACTGGAAATGGAAAATCCAAGACCATTAAAGCTCGTAAAGTCATTCCAAAAAGTTGGAAACCAGGCAAAGTTTATTGGTCACAGTCTAATTTATAGTGTATTTATCTACCTAGCACGGACACGTATGAAAGATGGCGTGTTCGTGTCTGTATCAAAGTCGAACCCCTATATCTATATTTTTAATTATATTTAATTTATTCACTTTTTTAATTTATGTATAAGAAGATCGCAGCTATGGGATATATACCTGTATATATATACATTTGTATATATATAAAATTGTAGGTGGAGAATGTGAATAGAGAAAATAAGATCTTGTATTTTGAATTGTTTGTACATGATCTCGACAAATAAATATTATAGTAATATTTTATAAATAATTATTGAATATTATCATTCATTACCTATTAATATTCAATGCCACTGTACTCCCTCAAATGCCCTTCGTGTTTTAAAATTTTACACATACAATTACTCAATTTTGTAATTACCATATTAATACCAATTTATACTCACAAACCACACTCATTAACATCACATTACTGTTCTTTGTTTCTGGTTGTTTTGTCTAATAAAAATGTGATTTGGGTCATACATGTTAGAATCCACCAAATTTTCATTATTTTTCTTCCATTATTTGGGTCATACATGTTTTAATTGACCAAGTTTTTCTTGAACCTTCTTCTCTTCATTTTTATTATGTTTTTCACTGTTGGGCTGAACTGAATCTCAATAATAGGGTATAAAGCATATAATTTTTATTAAATTACAATAGTATTTTATTTTTCATTTTATTCACATATTTCTGTAATATAGCGTTGGGTGTATAACTTCCTCTCCTATATTTTAGGTAGTTTACTAGCCTATATAAAGGATGTTATGTTCTATTTGTAAGGCAAGATTTCAGAATGAAATGAATACTGAGTCTTCATTTTTTAGCTTGAATGTTGTTTGCCAGATTTAATAATTTTCATTATAGTTTCTTATTTGATTTCAGTAAGTCATAGAAAATTGTATTCACATCAAAGGTCTCAAGCTTGGAATTTCTTTAGATACAAAGTACACAAACAAAAATTAGCCAAATATATTCTTTTTTCCATTGCTTTGCGTCATGGGTACTTAGAATATTTGTGTCTTTCTTTAGATAACGTGTTGATAGCTCACATGTCTTTGATTCATTTTTCCATTTTCTTCTTTTGTTCAACAAACTTGACCTGTTATTGTTGTGAATTTGACGGGATTCATGGGGTTAACAATATAGTGATGAAGCTTGTCAGCTTTGATTACTAGCTTGACCTACTGACACCTAAAGAGATAGTTTTTAGACAATGAGTGAAGTTTCATCGACGCTACGAGAAATGCATCTGAATCTTGAGACGGTACATGAATCTTGATACCAGAATGATTAATATTGTTCTCGATGACTCTCTTGGAATCTATGTGAGAAATTGTGTTATTGATTTATTGAATCATTGCAACTGAGTTAGGTCTATTTATAGATCTTTCTACTAGTCAATTAAGGAATATGAGAAACAAATTATAAATTAAACAAAATAAAAAAATAAATAAGTTAATTAATAAATTAAATAAATTATTTGATTAAAATATGGGATGCATTTTTAATTTACTAGTAGAAACAGGAGGTCTGGATAGCATGGGTTTAAGCTCATAATTTCGTTTGAGTCCAATTGCAAAGGGAGGTATATGAATCGCAATTGAAGTAGTAATAACGAGGGTGTCGGATCTGGAACGTTTGATTTAATCAGAAGGGGCACTAGAGTTCAACTCTGGGCCCTTGATCTGAAGCATGCGAGACAAAGGGCTTAGATTGAATGTTTGACTGGGTGTATGGTGGGTGTAAATGCAGGAGACCAGTCAATGGTCACCTCATCCAGGGGCTCTCAAGGAGCCACCCGACGCACATCCAAACGGGGAGAGACTATTATATAAACAAACGTCTGAGTCGTTGGACCATTTTTCTTATTTCTTTCTCTTTCTACACAAACGAAACAACAACTCTTTGTAAGAGTTGAGAGAGAGAGGCTCTTCCCTCTCTCTAAAATTCAGGTGGCCGAAAATCATTTGCGCCAAAGCGCCGCCGGTGGTGTTCATCCAGAAACCACCATACATTCATCCACCGTACATACACCAAACCAAGATCAACGATAAACCTTATTAACCCTAAGAACCCTAAGCACCCTTCATCTAAACCCTAAGAACCCTAAGGGTTCATGAAGAACCCTAACCTAACAAAAACCCAAAAACACAAATTGAGGAACCCTAGCCCTAGTATCTAATAACCCTAACCCTAAGGTGTACGAACCCTAACCCCAAATCAAACCCAGAAAACCCCAATTCAAACCAAAATCGCACAATTAAACAGAATCAAAACACCAATCACAACAATCAATCGAGCCCTAAAAACTAAGTATTGAGGGTTACCGTCCGTTGTAGTGAATTTCCTTCTGGTTCTTTATCCCTCCGTCTAATCCTTTTCTTTCTCTTTGCAGGTAATTGGAATTGGGCACTAGTGTTGAACTCTGAAGAACTTAGGGTTTCAGTCATGAAACCCACGTTTTCCACTGAGGCAGAGCTTTAGTGAGGATATGGAATGTGCAGCAACAACAAGAACTCTCCAAGGATTTTTGTGTCCTCAATTCAATAGCTTAGGGTTTAATTTATAGTCTTAGGATATTAGCAGTTATAGGTTAGAATTAGGAAATATCTAGTGATTTGTCATTTCTATTGTATGATTTACTCAATCAGAATCAAAATTGTAATCTCGATTGGATTTGATTAGATTTTGTTATAGAATATAATTAGGGTTTTTGTTATGGTGTATTTGAACTGCAATGTGTATAAAATTCAAAACAAATCAAATAGAATTCCAGATTTAATTTGATCTGCATGTAGATTTGATTCAAAATATAAACCATGGGCTTTTGTTTATTATTTTGGGCGCAACAACAACAATTAGGGTTTTTACCCTATGTTGACCTTCAGTTAACAAAAACTCAAATAAAAAATAAAAATTAATAATAATAATGTAATGTAAAATAAAAAATAAAAACAAATTGCTTAAGAGGGAGTTGACTCCTGGTCAACCCCTCCTTAATATGTAATATTATTATTTTTACCAAAAATAATAATAATAATATTAATAATAATAATAAAATCAATGTAGTTGCTACATATACTGTGGGTCAACAAAAAAACATGATTGGGCTTTTATCCAAAAAAGTGGATTTAATACAATAAAACCCAAATGTGAAACAAATCCCAATTGGACTATTCATACCTATACCTATATATATATATATATATATATATATATATATATATATATATATATATATATATATATATATATATATATATATATATATATATATATATATATATATATATATATATATATATATATATATATATATATATATATATATATATATATAGAAAATTTATGGTAGATAAAATGTAAGCACATAGAATGATGGGTAATTTTTTGGAGTATGACAAGTATTGATATACATTAGGCCTAATGTAAGTTCATTAACCTTGATTTATTACTCTAATATGCAAGTCTACTTATGTTTTATGAAAAACAATATTATTGTTTGACATGAGAAATATGCACCCTCCGCAGTTCTAAATTTGTGGTACGGAGCTCCCTATAATCTATCTCATCTATAACTTTTTGTTATGTAGAAGTATCATATCTAATAAAACAAACATATATGCACAACAACAATGTCATCAATAACAATAACATTATCCATGTCATCCATATATAGAACATCATTTGTTGGACTATTAACCTTGTAGATATGAGTGTGCACCCTATCCTCACTATGTAGATTATTAGTTGTATAAAAATTTGTCTTGGGAAGCAGAGTAGTTGTGAAACGGTGGGAGAACTGACTATGGTTTTGCGTTTGTTTTCGCAAATGTTTCGGTTGAGCAAGAGTCGCCACCGACTTTTTATTTTATCCTAAGGAAAGGTTAAAAAGCACAGCAAAAACCTTTGAGATGTTTTCTTGGGTTCGGGGAGTAGATTATAGAAAGGGAAGGTATTAGCACCCTTTCTATCCATGGTTATCCATGGGCTCTTAGTTACTTGCTTAGATCAACTTGCCTTTTGTTTCAATTGTTTGAAATGGTGCTTTGTGTGTGTGGGTTTGAAAATGTTTTGAAAAGAAGCCAATGTGGTGGCAACCTTTGTAATGATCCATGTTGGGATGTATACAAAGATGTATGTCTTTTGAAAAGGTTTTCATTTGTTTTTTGAAAGTTTGTTTTGAAAGTGTTGTAAGGTGTGGTTTTAGAAAATAGGCAAGTGTTTTGTTTTTGCAAGTTTGATTCAAGTAACTAAGAGGTTATCTACTCCTAAATTTCTCAAAGATTATTGCTATGTTTTAACCCTTTTAACAAGCTTGTTCCACCATTGTATTTGGTGGACAATCTTGTGTTAGGATGTGAAAGGGACGGGCGCGGGTCATCGTTTAGACCATAATTGCAATGGTGCCAAGTATCTTTGGGCAATTTTCTTTAAGGGACTTGATCATTTGTTTAGGCAACTTTTTTTGAAAGCGTCATCGAGGGACTATGATCATTTGATTGTTTGTTTTGCCCAAAGAGACCTAACATGCAATATGGCCCATTTATTGAAGGCAACAAGTGGAATACCCTAGGGGGTGCAAGTGTGATTTGTGTTATCCATTTTCATGCTTGTTTATCTTGAAATTAGGTCAAACTATTTTTGTTGTTTTTGATTCGCATACAAACTCTAATTCTAACATGGTATAATTAGAAAGCAATAAAGTGCGAAAAATAAATTTACTAAGCTATTACAACACAATATATGGGAAGGGGGGTACAAATGCTCAAATGGGGATTTTTGACAAGGAATTTAAACCTAAACTATTACATCAATATTGAATTATTTACAAGATATTTAATTGCACAAATTAAATAAAATAAGAATAAATATGCAAGATGCAAAAAATGGTTTTTGTATGTATGGAAAAAAAGTATTTTTATATGTCAAAATAAACAAAAATAAAAGTATTATTTTTTTGGAGTTTTTTATGTTTAGG